ATGCCCAAGTGCAGATGTGTGGAATATTTATGCCTTCTCTTACAGCCATCAATTGCACACCATGGTGCCTTTTATCTTGCTAGCTGTGACTTGTCTTGACTAGCTAGCTTGGTTCGCTTCTCTATATTCATAATTTCTAGTGAAAAGGCCACAGGCCCAATAACAAGGTGTGCTTGCTGGCGACTTCTGTCTTTGGTGGCCAAGGTGTGCTTTTTGTTTGCTTCTGGCTTTGCTGGTCATGCCCAGGTTCTGTCTAGCTTAGGGAGGTTGGGCTGTGCAGATGCCCAGCAGGCATAAGGCGCTGGTTTGGCAAGTGAGGACTGGAAAGCAGTCAGAACGAGTGGACCTCACAGTCTCTTCCTCTACCTCAGGTGTCTTCTCAGGAGGATCAACAGGGGAAGAAAAATGGCCCAGAGGTTGCTGCCAGCCCAGGTTCAGGTGAGTAAAAACCATTTCTTTTTTGAGCTGCCTTCAGACTCCAGAAGGGGTGAATTTATTTCATTCTTTCTTGAACTTCTCTGGGCTTCAGAACCCAAGGAGGAACAGAAGCTGTGAAAGGTGAGGTCATATAACTCCTGAAGGGAGGTTCTTCCTGTCTCCATTAATCAGTTTTATTGCCAATGGCCAGGAGTTACTACCTTCCCTCACTCTCACTTTCTGAGCAGACATTAGACTATCGGGCTGTTATCTGGCCCCCTGGTTCTTGCATTCTCTTGGAGAAGATTTCAAAAAGACACACAGAGCCTCAGCGAGCAAAGTTTTATTAGAGCGGGAACTTAATTTCACAGACAGAGTAGCTGTCCGAGAGGTGGGTGTCAGCTACAGTTTTTAATGTCTTTTTCCACTTAACACTTTTGACTGGTGGAAAGCTTATCACCTGCCTCCCAGTGTACGTTAACCTACTTAAGGTCTTGTGACCTGATTTTAGGACTAGTCTCATCTTCACTTGTCTCCTCAATGCTCATCAACTCTGATATCCTTTTGCCGTGAAGCTAAGATTAAACAATAGAGCTACCAGCCCCTACCTGCATACTCATATTTAACTTCTGCCTAATAACTAGAAGTGATTCCAGGCTGTATCCAAAGGAACAGAAGGAAAAGGTTATATGGCATAAATGCAGAAGCAGAGCACAGAAACCAATAGATTCAAGCTTTGTTTGTTTAAACTTGTCCCCATGCAGATTTCCTGATGATACAAACCATGCTCCTTTGGTGCTTGACTGGCTGAGCTTGTTTTAGTTTGTAAGGAACCCAGGGAGTTTTTACCTTCTTAGTCTAAAGGCTATGGTATTACCATATTCTACTGCCATGATTCTACTCAAAGAAAGGCATGGGTACCACCAGTTCCTTGGGGAAGCTTTTCTGGGTTGAGACTGGCAAGTGACTTAGCCATTAAGAAGATTCACAAACTCTCTGGGAAGATGACTCAATTAGTAATCTACTTGGCACACAAGTCTGAGGATCTAAGTTCGATGCAATGGATAGAACTCAAACAAAAAAGCCAGGAATGATGATATGTTATTTATCATCCCAGCCCTGGAGAGGCAGGTGGATTCCTAGGGCTCACTGGCCAGCTGGCATAGTGAGTCAGCAAGGTCTAGGCCAGTGAGAGACCCTGTCTGAAAAAACAAGGTGGATAACATACTGAGGATTTTGACAGTTGAGTTTGTCTTCTGGTTGACACACTTAGGTGCATATTCAGACACCACATACACACACACACACACACACACACACAGAGAGAGAGAGAGAGAGAGAAAGAGACAGACAGACAGAGAGGGGGGGTGGGAGAGATTTGCATACATCTCAAAAGGACAGATTCTGAAAGTAAAGGAGTTGGGGCTGGGGATATTGCTTGTAGTTAGAGCACTTGCTAGCATGCTCAAGGCTCTGGGTTTGAATCTAACTGCTGTGAAGAAAGAAGTGGGGGTCTATCTCTTCCTTTATGTCCAGGGAGGAAAATCAAGCCACGCATATATAACTTACTTTTGCCCCTTCAGGTAAGGGAAGATGCTAAGCTTTGTTGACCAGCTTGGGGTTGCAGAGATGTGCCTTTGACTTGGTAAAGAAAAAGTGAGCTCCTAGCATTTCCACTGCAGAAATGCCTCAGGTGTTGTACACAGATGTCCAGCCTATGATTTGTAGAGTATCAGCAACATGGAAACCACCATACCATTTCCCTTCCTATTAAAAACGAATACATTTCTTAGCCTCAAGTTGTGTTCTATCTTCCTGATTTTGTTTAGTGGTGTCAGGTGTTGTCTTGTAGGGTGCTGTGTTTGAACTTTCTTAGGGTACAGTGACTCACTTACTATAGGAATGTCGTGAATACATGCTGGTTAATGGAGCTGTGGTACAGAAATGCTTGCTTGGCTTGAAACACTCAAAACTCTCACAGAGTTGCTCCTCACACACACTATGTGTGGGTATGTCTGGGATAAGCAGAAATGGGCTTGCTGTTCTAGGAGCCTGTGACATTCAGGGATGTGGCTGTGTCCTTCAGCCAGGATGAATGGTTGCATCTGGACTCTGCACAGAGAAGCCTGTACCGGGAGGTAATGCTGGAGAACTACAGAAACTTGGCTTCACTGGGTAAGGAATTATTGGGGTGCATATTCTGCCATGGAAACACATGATCTACCTGGGAGGAAATGTGAAGGGTATGGCTAGGTTTGGCCTGTGGAAGGGTTCAGTCATCGCTGCTTTTTCCCTCGGCTATTCTGAGAAGTCCAAGTATGACTGAGTTAATAAAGTGCATCTTCTCTTGTGTTTTTTTTTTCTGTCTCCCCAAAACCAGCTCTGTTGCTATGGGTCCCCTCAGCCATCCCACCAAGAGGAATGCTGAGCCAGAGCCATGACTCACACACATCCTTAGGCTGTCTCTGGACATCCTTTAGGAGCCCAGTTTTAGGCTGCTTTCTAAACAAGTTTCTCCTCCTGTGCACTGTATCCCGACCTCAGGGTCTCCTTGGCTTGGACTTCTATTTCAGTTTGGCCACTCGTGCCTTCTTGTTCATGAACAGGGATTCTGTTTTCCAAGCCAAAGGTCATCTCTCAGTTAGAGCAAGCAGAAGACTTCCAGATGGTGGAAAGTGGAATGCTTCGAGGTGTGTATCTAGGTAAGTGGCAGAGGGATCAGGACTTGAACTTGGCATTTCTTACCTACCTGGGCACACAAGGGAATTATGCTCAGAAGACATTGGCCAGGGACCTCCTTTGATGTGCCAGCACATGGATATTTCTGGGAAGGACATGTCTCCCCTCTTTATTTCTGGTCACCTCATCCTTCAGGTTCAGAGGGAGAAGTGAATTCTCCAAGCAAAGATTGCACTTTGACAAACACCTCTTGTCATTTGAGAGCATGAACTACAGGGTAATGTGCAGTAAATGTCTGTCAGTCTTGATTTTTCTACTCTTTCCTTCACATTTACTGCACTAATAACCTATTTTACTTTGGTGGTTTGAACATAACCTTCATGACTGTAGTGCATCCCTCTTTCCACTTTTCACTTAAATGTATCAGTAATAACCTCATAGTATCCAAAATGTGTTGGTGCCACATTAAGGAAAATAAGCCAGAGCACTTGTCCTTGGAATAGTTTTACCAAGAACAAGCCTAGATTTAAATTCTCTACTTATTTCCTCCTGTGTATTTCATCTCTCCTATCTGTAATTTGTCTATTGTATGAGTCTAAATGTGCCTACCTGAATGCTATCTTATGAATCTAGCCCTGTGCCTGTGTGTGCCCCCAGCAAAGGGCTTTTGCTCTGTATTTGTTGAATGTCTCAGGAATATGGGGAAAGAATGAGGGATATTTTACAGAAATCTTTAACAGAGTTTTACAAGGGAAGAAACTTTACAACTTTAACTGACCCAGATAACAAGCAAATGCTATCAAGCAATATCTGAATGCTGCTTTCAACATTTATGACGATATTCATTTTATAATGTTGCTTTTCAACCTAGTTTTTGCTTTACACAAATGACTACCACAACATGCATATGTACACAAATGCATTGTGCACTGGGTCAAGGGCATGGAATTAGATACAGTTACCCATTAGCTTAGGTTGTAAAAGTTGGTTACATGGGTAATCCAAGGAATGTGAGGATGCTTGTTATATTGCTCTCGTAAAGACAGGTTAAACAAACAAGCTGAGTACATAGTAGGATAGCAGTGTTGAGTTTTAAGTTATCTCAAGGTGTCTTACTAACTCTGTTGTGAGGTCCAACAAAAGTTCCAGACTTTTTGAATTTTCATAATAATGTTTCACCATACTGTCTTGGGCTTTTGCTTTGATTTTGTCTGTAACTCAATATCCATTGTTAAGAAAAAACAATGGAAGAATATGGGCTCATGCAAATACATGAGAGAAATGCAAATACATGTGCCAGTATGGAGACAGTTATAGAATTTAAGCAGACTCGTAGATATTCATCATCAGGCTATTTGTCTTTGTGACAATTCGTAAGCCATATACAGCAGATCCTGGTCCCTGGTATGTTGGCTGAGTTTGTTTGACTCTGAGTACCACATCACAAGTGCCTACTTTCTGTTCTTCTTTAGATTTTGTCTTTGTTTCTGGCACCAGAGAAGAGAATGATTCTCTTGGGCCCTGCTACTTATCCAGATTTCACTTCTCTCTGGCATTCTGAGTCAGTTTTGTCTTGGGTTGCCATTCATGAACTGTCTTCAGATTTCCCTTTGTTTTGATGAGAATTTTTCTCTGAATAATTTTCTCTGATTTACGTGTACAATACACGTGTATGTCTAAGTTTTTTCTTCTCTCCTTTGGAAATAGGCTTTGGGGTAGAGTTCTGGCATTAGATGTCATGTTACCACTCAGCAGTGTCCACTTGTGACTCCACTCTACTATCTTTGAGCAATGAGTGTTGATAACAAGTCCCAGCCTGAATTCTATTTCTCCTGTTTTCTGTACAGGTGAACTCTTTTATAATCAACAGCATGAAAGCTCCTTTGTAAAATATATTCATTTCTTTTGTATCTATTATTTCATTTATTACAGTATTTCCTAAGCATCTTGGCTCTTATATTTTTTTACATTGATTTATTTATATTGTACAGAAGGGGGTTGGGGATAAGCCATAGCTTGAGTGTGGAGCTCAGAGAATGGCCTTCAGGAATCAATGCTTTCCTTCTACCATTTGAATCCAGGAATTGAACTCAAGTTGTTAGGCTTAGCAAGCATGCACCTTTACCCATCCTGCCATCTTGGACCCTAGATTTTATCTTCAACTTCATCTTCTTATCATCCAGCTTAAAGTATCAGCATAGTTACCCCCATTGCATATTGCCTTGGTTTTGTTTGTTCTTATACAGTTCTCATAAGGCCCTAGTTACTTCTTTGGCAATTTGGTTACTTGACTATTGAATGGAAGCCTGTGGGAGATGGCCCTTGCCTTGCTATTGCCTGTAATTCCCTTGGCCTTTGCATTGTCTATTGCAAGAACACTCATTACAACATTAGCACTCTGACAAGGGCCAGAGTGGCACTGCTGAGACTGAAACTGTTTCACAGAGCTCCTGGGGCAGAGGCTCCTCCTCCTCCCTTCTTCCGTCTCTCCCTCCTCTTCCTCTCTATAGTTTTCTTTTGGGATTTACCTAAGTGTACTGGCACTGGTCTGGGTGATGAAACTGAATAGTAACACAAGCCCTGCTCAAAAACAGCTGATGACCAAGACTTTGTTGCTAAATCTAGCCTGCCACCCCATCCTACTGGGAGAGCTGCCATCAGATGTCCTCAGCCCCCCACCCCTTCAGACCCTTCCTGTCAGGCAAGGCTACCCTCCTATTTCTTTTCCTTTGTCCTTGTTCCTAACTTTTCCTAAGATTCTGAGTTTGGATTTGTTAGCTGTGCTCACGAATTTTGATATCATTTTCCTTTATTCCCAGTGCAAGAGTCGCTTACATTTTGTTTCATTTAGGGTGGAAGAGCTTGTTTAAACCCATAGTTTCCAAAGAAGAAAATAAGGAAGTCTTGAAAAATCACAGAGCTGATGATGTTTTTGACTTCATATTGGGAAAAACATATGTAAATGAGGAACAGTTAGAGGAGCAACAAGGCAAAAATAACAAACTTTTCAGCAAAATGCTGCTTTCCATTAGAAAAGACTATACGCAAGAGAGGGGCCTTACAGGTATTGAACTCGTGAGAAATCCTGGTATAAAGTCTCCTTTTACTAGAAAACCTGGAGTCATCTCCAGAGGAAGAAAGCCCCGCTCACAGCAGTACTCTGTTCTATTTAAACCACTGGGAGTCAACACAACGCGTAAGTGTTACAGATGTAACATCTGTGGGAAAGTCTTTCTTCACAGTTCTTCCCTGAGCAAACACCAGAGGATCCACACTGGAGAGAAGCTCTACAAATGTAAGGAATGTCGGAAGGCTTTCAGCCAAAGCTCGTCCCTAACACAGCACTTGAGAGTCCATACTGGAGAAAAACCGTACATATGTAGTGAATGTGGGAAGGCTTTCAGCTTCACTACCTCTCTCATTGGGCATCAGAGGATGCACACTGGAGAGAGACCCTATAAATGTAAGGAATGTGGCAAAACCTTCAAAGGCAGCTCATCCCTCATTAATCACCAGCGGATCCACACTGGAGAAAAGCCTTATAAGTGCAATGAGTGCGGGAGAGCCTTTAGTCAATGTTCATCTCTTATTCAGCATCATAGAATTCATACCGGGGAGAAACCATATGAATGTAGCCAGTGTGGGAAAGCCTTTACATCAGTATCACGACTAAGCAGACATCACCGAATCCATACTGGAGAGAAGCCCTTTCATTGTCATATGTGTGGCAAAGTGTTCAGTTACCACTCAGCCTTGATTATACATCAGAGAATTCACACTGGAGAGAAACCATATGCATGCAAGGAATGTGGGAAAGCCTTCAGCCAAAGCTCAGCACTTATCCAACATCAAAGAATCCACACTGGAGAAAAGCCATACAAGTGCGATGAATGTGGGAAGGCCTTTTCCTGGGTCTCACGACTTAATATCCATCACAGGATCCACACGGGTGAGAAACCTTATCATTGCAAGGAATGTGGGAAAGCTTTCAGTTCTCACTCAGCAGTCAATACTCATCGAAAAATTCATACTGGTGAGAAACCTTATAAGTGCAATGACTGTGAAAAAGCCTTCAACCAAAGCTCAGCCCTTATTCAACACCAGAGAATTCATACTGGAGAGAAACCATTTAACTGTAAAATATGTGGGAAAGCCTTCAGGCAGAGTTCATCACTTATGACACATATGAGAATCCATACAGGAGAAAAGCCTTATAAGTGCAAAGCATGTGGGAAAGCCTTCAGTCAGAGTTCATCTCTTGCCAACCATCAGAAGACTCATAACTGAGAAAAACCATAAAAGTAAAATGCATGTAATAAATTTGCTGAAAGACATTCATTCCATACTGACTGTAACAGAACTCAACCTGGAGAGAAAGTGATGAGTAATATTTGGGGGTAAGCATCAAGTTAGACTTCAGCAAACATCAGGAATCTGTGATGCAGTATAAACTTGCAAATGTTTGGAAAACATATATAAAATATTTTTCACATATTCTTAAGTTTTATTGTCTATAGAGTTGACTCTAAGATTGAAAGATTTATATTTTCTTTCTAGTGATTCAGACTTAACAGCCACCAGCTTTTGTAATGCCATGGGGGCCTGCTGATTTAGGGAAAAGCTGAGCCATGAATCACCAGACTTCAGATGAGTCTAGGATCTATGTTGGACAATGCCTTTCAGTATTAATTAATAAATCTTTTTCTCATTTTAGAAGAATAAGAAAAGAAATCTACATAGGTAACTTGTAGCTACCTCATGGTCACTAAAGTTTGTTTTTTAATACTCTGGAAACAAGTTCTTGTTTATTGTTAAAACCTTTGGTTCATTTTTCCTTTCTCTAAGTCACTGACCTGAGAATAAAATCACTTGTGAGCTATGCAGGTGTATTGTCCTTTGCACTGTCTCCCCACCATTTACCACCTCTGGTTCAGACCTAAAGGCACAAAATGCCTTTTAAGTCACAAAATGCATGGTGTCTCTACTTGTTTTTCTCAGAAAGTAGTTACCTTTGCTGCATTATATTGTGAAGTAAAGGCTCTTCAGACAAATGCTTTTGAAATTTAATTTACATATACATACAGTTAGTTAGAAATGAGAAATTGTGTCACAGTGTAGCCACAGAGAGCACAACTCATGGTCCTGGGCTGTGCCTACTTCCTTGTGCTTCCTGTAGCAATTGTGCACTACTTATCTAAACTCCTGGAGTCAGCTTCTTAGTCTGTAAGAGATTTTCAGAGCTTCCTGAGTCTTGTAAGCCTCCTTTCTCCTGTTTCCATTCAAAGTAAATACAAAGCACATAACACTACCCCCCCCCCATTCTGCCTCTTCTGCAATGTTCCCTGTGTCTTGGAGTAATTTATGGCTAAGCATTGAGTGTATGCCACAGCAACAGTTCTTATTCTCAGTACCATGACCAATTGTGATACCACAATAACTACTCCCCACTGGGGAGGGGTGTTCCCCAGGTTAGGAGACATTACAATCCCATGGTTAAGAGACTGCACTACTCTTGCAGAAGACCCTGGTTCTATTCCCAGCACAAATACTGGGTAATCTATAGGTTCCTATGACTTCAGCTCCAGGGGATCCAAGGCTTCTGGTTTCCATGGGCATCTTTACTCACATGTGCACACACGTACACATACTTAAAAAAAAAAAAGTGTTCCCCTACACCAGTGTTAACAGAAGTGGTAATCTATGTCCATAATCAAAAATGTTTCAAAGGTATGTAATACCTATTAAATAGCATAATAGCAGTAGCCTCCCCACTGGGGACCAGGATCTCCCCAGCCACAGGTTTTGTCCTGAAAAATGAGTTTTCTCCTAGGGAGCAGGCTTTACATGAAAATGGCAAATACTGGCTGCACCCATATTAGTTGTGTCACTGTTTTACCAAAGAGCTTATCTTTCCTGGCATACTCACGGCATCAACACATTGTGTCCATAGCTGAACAAGACTATTGATATCAACTCCTGCCCCGACCAGCAGCCTACATAGTGTTTTTCAGCACTATGAAAGTGAGATAGCATAGGGGCAGGATCTTCCAGCCAGATCCAAGCCTGATTTCTCCATGTCCTTCAACTAAAGTATGTGATATCTTCAGCAACAGGGACTTCCACTTAGTTCTGGGATGCAAAAAGCTGTAAAGACAATAAAGTTTGTAGCTTATGAGGTCATAGGGCCTCTATGGCCAATAATACCGAGAGAGGCAACACATGCCTGGAATTGGGATTTTCACTCAACAGTCTGTGGCTTCTCTGGGTACCTCACTTCAGCCATGCATGGGGGAGGGAGGAGGTATTGAAACACATGTCACTGCTGGGTTTGCTCTTCCAGATGATTTTCCAGATCAGAAAGATACTTGAGAGAGTTAACATTATGTGTGTTTTTTAAACTAAAGGATAAGTGTGGGCAGGCTCTCTGAAGGTCCATTGCTACCTGTTCCAACCTGCTACAGACCACAGAATTATACAGTGAGAACACAACTGACAAGTCATGGAGCTAACCCACCAAGGATCATTTTCCGATCAAGGAGGCCCTCATGCAGGGTAGTAGGAATATTCGCTTTGTATGAATAGTCACTGTCCTTACTGTAAATTCCCTGTGAAGCCATGACACCCCTCTCTATGGTGGGATTCATAACCCAAACTCCAGCAGTGCATTAATCATTTACTGGGCACATTTTTCCCTATGCATTGGTATATTGGATGATTCTTCCCAGATATTATTAAAATCCTTTACAACTACAAATAGTTCTCAGTTTGCCATAAATATAGTTTACTAATTGATTATTAATTATAGATATACATTATTGGTTATACCTATCGATTATGGTTATAAATATAGATTATAGATATACTGATTAAATATCAATATAAATTATTGATTATTAATTTCAAAACCATTATCATTCTTCCAATCATCTTCAGACTTTTAATTACCCACATTACTCTCTGCCCTAGAGAGATTTACATGCTTTTTAAACAAAAAAGGGGCAGATGTAGGAGCCTTGAGCGATACAGCAGGTGTTAATTCTTAATAGCCTACCTTGTTCTCTTACTCAGACTACTGCACACAATTAGTTCACTTTCACCTCAGAGCAAGATCAAACTAGACTAAAGCCTTTCTTTTTGTAAAAACAAAAGACAAAAAACTTTACAGCTTGCACAAGGTCAGAGTCACAGATGTTTACCAAGGTTACTAAGGAAAGCATGCTAATTCTTCACTTGCCAGTCTGCTAACAATAGATCTGTGTCTCAAAGTTGTCATTGGTTTTGTCTCCTGTCTGGTCATGGTTTTGCTCCTATGACCTTGGACCCTTGTGTTGCCATGGAAAATGGCTCAGCTCCTTATCTCTTCCTCTAGGAATGTGCTTTTGACCAATGAGAGAAACTTTATCACTTCAAGGCTCCTGAAGAGGAAGAGTTCTTAGAATAGAAGAAGAAGCAAGAAGTGTTATGCCCAGATCACGGAACCCCCAAAAATCCATCACCAAGGAGGTGACTCACCAAATGCAAGAACAAAGGTTTCTTTTTATTTCAAGCTGCAGTCTGGGTTCTGCTGGCTCGGAGGCAAACGGAACACCACTTACAGCTGAGAGGGGAATTTTAAAGAAAAAGTTCAGAAGACTGAAAGTCTTGAGATTACAAAGCTTCTATGGTTACACAGGATGAAACAATAACTGTATGTTTAGGCAGGATGCAATTAAGCAGGAAATTGTAGGGGAAACAAGTTTGATAATTATCCCCTGGGCCAGGGGTTTTTACAACTGGGAGTTGATAGCTATCTGGTCTTTTTTAGGACAGAAAATGTTGACACAGTTTGGGGGTGTTATCTGGTCCCAGGCCTCTGGTCAGTACCCAGTTCTTTGTTTAGCCTTATCTGTCAGCTGCCCTTTTGGGAATTTTCTTGAAAATTTTCTTTTTCCTATATGAACTTTAGAGTCTAAGTTTTAGACTTTTATTAGTTTTCCCATTTTACTCCTTTCAGAAGAAGCATAGAGAAGTTAAAAGTAGGACAGGATTATTAGAATAGAAACAGAGAAATAAAGAGCACAGGAAATAAAGAGCATGACCCCTCAGATTGTGTGTGAAGTTGCTATAGAAATCTTTTACCTCTTCTTCACTCCTGAGAAGCATCACCTTTGGGAACCTGGGTAGGGCCTGGAGCAGGTCTCTTAGCCTCTACACCAACCAAATGACAATTGAGCTTAGGATTCAGCAGCTAGCTGGATTTAAAAAATAAATAAATAAAAACTAAGTATTTGTATTCAATTAATTACTTTTATTTTTTTAATCCTTTTGCTTCTGAAACCATCCTGGGCTGAATATCAACGCCCTTTGTCACAAAACAAAACAAGGAAAAAAACCTGAAACGATACCTGTGTGCATTGTTTTCTGTGTATTATACAAGTTAAAATGATTTAAATTATCATGATTAGTGGTGTAGGCTACACAGATTCTCCTAGGGTTTTAGTCTCTCTATGCAGCCTGGCTGTCCTGCAACTCTGAGTAGTCAGTCAGGCTAGCCTGGTACTTATGGGTGGGTGGGTGGCGTCCCCACTCCTAGACAGTACATTATGGCTTTGTCTTGTCACATCACTTTGCCCACCTAGGGAACAAGTCTGGGAACTGACTGAGAGAGCCTGGTAGGGTTTTCAGGGTTTCCTGGATTTGTAGTGAATTGCCACAGCCCCAGACTACAATAACCTGAACACTTGGAGGATACCACCACAGTTCCACTCAGTTTTTGGAAATCGCTGACTCCGGTGCCTACTGGGAAATGT